TCATATAACTCTTTCTATTATAACCACAAAATATGTTGTTGGTTCTAAATTTATTCTTATATGATACTCGACCTTGCTAATAAGCAAACATAGTGAGGAGTGACTGGGAATATATGCGAGAATGAAAAGAAATAGTTTGCTAAGAAAAATATGTAGGAACAAAAAAAAAAAAAACTCAAGGTGTTCGAGATCAACATCTCACTTTGTCCAAAAGATATTAGAACAGACAAAGGATGTCCAAAAGATTCAAAATGCTCCTATTCACACTTATTTATTTGACCATATTAGAAGAAAATACATTGACTTCAATGACTCATAGTACAAACTGCCTTAGACACATGTCAATTCATGACTAGTTGGAGGGGTGATAGTGAATGACCTTTGATGATCTTGCTCTAGCACAAGATCAATAGTGCCAAGCATGTTTAGACGAGCATATTTGGGCGAGTGCTAAGATTAGGAGTCTTGCAATTGACGAGTTGGCTAAGGTTGCAAGCGACCAGTGCTGAAGGCCTCAGATCTGTTTCGAAGAAAGAGGTGAGTGAGTTGTTGCAGGAAAGGAGAGATCTAATAAGTCGAAAGGTTGTGGAAAGATGAGCTGAGGGCCCGTGAGTAGGCACTTTCTTGTATTTGAGTTGGACCACGTTATAAACAGAAGAATAATTTGAGTTGACATATGACCTGTAACTCACTAAATCCTTCGTGGACACAAAAAACAGTTCAACTTTCTTCTTCTTCGTTGACCTATCCATGCAAAGCTTTTTCATGGCTTATCAAAGCCACCTCGCTTGCAATATTCCACCATAAGAGTGCTTTTGGTGAAGCACGTAAGCATCCACAATCTGTTATTGCAACTTTCTCTTAAGATAACTGATTTTTTTTGCAATTGGAAGATTATTTTATTTCAAATATAGGAAGAATTTTGCATATTATATTACATATTTGCATAAATATTTATGCTATTTTCAACGCATTAAATAAGAGCTTTTGAAATTATAATGAGGATCAATTATATAATATTTTTATTCT